TGGGACTTGATGGCGCTGTGTGAATTGTCCTGAGATTATTATTATTATATAGAGATAACAATGCCTTATCGCTAAATAGAGATTTCTTCCAGAACCTATAAGATTCGAAAAAAAAATTTGCACTGTTTGACATAAAACTATTTTGTTTTAATCTATGCAAGTTTGCATACAGTATCTACAAATTGAATATATGCAAAAAAAAAATAGTATAGAACAGAGCGAGAAATTATAACATTATTAAACTTTTTTGTAAACAAACATTATCATATTGTGTTGCATAAGATACCTGGTTCTACAGTAATGTATTTATGTGAATATATGTGTGTATATATAGATTAGAAATAAGTACTGTTGCTGCAGACAAATTGCTAAGCAGTTTTGCGGCTTATTGTTTTTATATTATGTTGTATAAATAAATAAAAAATCAAAGATTTGTAATGCATCTGTGAGAAGCCGGGACGGTTGCTAGTAGGCTATAAATTTCGTGTGTGAAATTGCGGGCACCTCTAGTACAATATAAAACGGAGTTATCTAATGTTATAGTGTGTACATTGGTTTGAAATTGACAATAATGATTGGTCTTAACCTATAAAATTGTTCTCTTGTTAAAAAAGAAAAAATGTCACAATTGAATTACAATAAATATCATTTTTAATTTATAAAAATTGTACTAATGTCAAAAAAGATAATATATATACATTGTAAACATCATAAACCTGACCAATCCTTTATCCTACAAAATTCCGTTCTATTCCGTATATTTCTGTGTATATTTCCCTAACTTTGATATTGGCTAAATGCGAAGGCAAAGCCAAAGATGGAGGAGGAGAAAAGAAAATGTCACAAATGAACTCGGATTTTTCGTAATAATAATGGAAAAGCGTGACGGACCGGACATCGACCTCGGCCGGATGTGAGATGCATCTGGATACACTCGCTCACATCACAAGTGGGACGAGAATTTGCGCGGGAAATAGCACGTGACGCCATCTTGGACATGATTATATTTCCTTTGCTTTTCTAACAATATGTCATTTATAGTCTGTAGTGACAATTTATACACGTGAGAAATAAGATTATAGTCTAGATCACAGAGTATAACAACTATAACACAACGTTTTATAAGAACTGTCACCGCTCTACCGCTCTTATTATTTATACATATAAATAAAATTGGACTGTCTGTTTGTAATATTGAAATAACCGTTTTTTACTACATGCATATGAATATTTTTGTCTGTCTGTCTGTTTGTTCTGGCTAATCTCTGAAATGGCTGGACCGATTTTGACGGGTCTTTTTTTGGCAGGTTTTGCAGCTTTAGAAAGATAAAGTTAAATTCCACGCGGACGAAGTCGCGGGAACAGCTACTTTAAAATAAGTGAAATGCATGCACAGTTTCACATAAATAAATATTTTTATTTATTTATTTATTCATCCACTACAATACAAATTATCTAAGATAACATAATAGTCACATAAAATTTTCGTCTACAACATAAATCTCGTTATGAACAATGTTTTGTTTTAGTGGAGACGTGCTTATGAGACGTGGATATGAGAACAAAACCGTTTACCATCAGATGGGCTGTATGCTTGCTTTCCATTAACATAGTATAAAAAAAATCCTTTAAATGTGTCTATGTAAGCAAACATATCTCCAAAAATATAGATGGCAACTTACAAATGAATTTGCCGCGGCTTTGAGGTCATGCGTTTACACAATCGTTATTTTAATAAGAATAATTCTCATTAAAAAAAAAATAGAAAAATCTTTTTTTAGAATTCGATATTCAAATTATGATAGATTTATGCAATAGATTCTTTTACCTCGACTACGGCATATTGCATAACAACTCGAAACAACATAGGCTCCATTTAAAAACCAAAGCATGAAGTAAGGACACAAAAGTTCACCGCAGGTCGCGTGTTCTATTCCTGACGTGTGTATTTAAATTATTTCCCACATTTTTACGTTGACCTTTACTGCTTTTGATATATTTGTATCCGACTGCTAAAATAGATTTTTTTTTATACTACACGTGCCACATATTGTGGCAAACAAGCATACGGCCCGTCTGATGGAAAATGGTTACCGTAGTCTATGGACGCCTGAAACACTAGAGGTATCACGCGTATCCGATACTTAAGAAGCCAAATGTCTGAAAAATTAAAGAAAGAAAGAAAGAAAACAGTTTCTTTGGTACATAACAATAAATAAAATAATTTTTAAATTACACACTGGATTATATCAATTACATAGTACCAAATAGGTCTCCGCTCAGCATATGTTGTGACGTGGTGCCACGACGCTGGTATTCTGCAGATACCTTCATACATATCTATATATATAACTCAAAGGTGACTGACGTAGTGATCTATCAACGCACAGCCCAAACCACTGGACGGATCGGTCTGAAATTTGGCATGCCGGTAGATGTCATGACGTAGGTATCCGCTAAGAAAGGATTTTAATTAATTCTACCCCCAAGGGTATAAAATAGGGGATGAAAGTTTGTATGAAACTTTGTCAATTTTAAACCGATCGGGCTGAGACTTTGCATGCATAAAGCTACTTTGACGTAGGCATTCCCTAAGGAAGGATTTTGATAAATTCCGAGAGGGATAAATTAACGCGAGCGAAGCCGCGGGCAAAAGCTAAACATATAAATAAAATTGGAGTGCCTATTTGTAATATTGAAATAATCGTTTTTACTACATGCATATGAATATAAATACGGTACATACACCAAAATAACATTTTTTATATTAGCCGGAACAAACAGACCGACAGACAGACAGACAAAAATTTTACAAAGTGGTTTTTTGGTGTATTTATATTAATATGCATGTAGTAAAAAACGGTTATTTCAATATTACAAACAGACACTACAGTTTTATTTATATGTATAGAGTATAGATAATCTGCACAGTTAAATTATAATTACATGTGTAACTGTAACCTTCTTAAGACTTTTATTTATTCTTTTGCACACAAAAATGTATACATGGCAGACTTAATGCCTTCTTACCAGTCAACCGTCGCGTTTTACTGTATTTTGTATATATATTTAAAATATCCAACATTATACTTGCAACTTACAGACTACCGAGCTATGTTACATACATAATTATTAAGGAAAAAAAGAAATTTATCTATGTATTTGTATCAGTTATCTAGTACCCATAACACAAGCTTTAGCTAGCTTAACTTGGGACTAGATGGCGCTGTGTGAATTGTCCTGAGATTATTATTATTATCAGTTGTCTAGTACCCATAACACAAGCTTTAGCTAGCTTAACTTGGGTCTAGATGGCGCTGTGTGAATTCTCCTGAGATTATTATTATTATCAGTTATCTAGTACCCATAACACAAGCTTTAGCTAGCTTAACTTGGGTCTAGATGGCGCTGTGTGTGTCCTGAGATTATTATTATTATATGTTCAATGATATACACTTCTACATAAAAATCTGTTCAATAGAGAACCTACTTGTTTTGAGGTCGGTTAACAAATGTAAAAACAGTTTCTCATAACAGTTATGTAGTACTTCACGGTGGTGCATTTCGTTTGTGGCTATTATATTTTATATTATACTGAGTTCATATAACTGTTATATAGACAGACTAGCTGAGCCCGCGGTTTCACTCGCATGAAATGTAATTTTCACGCGTTGATACGTAATCGACGCGCCTATGTTATTCTTATAGACTTGTAAGCTTTTAGCTTTGCTAGTGCAAACCCGCGTTTCTGTGGCTAAGGTTAAATAATATTGCGACTATAAATTGATATTTATATGCATATGCATGTAATAAAAAACGGTTATTTCAATATTACAAACAGACACTCCAATTTTATTTATATGTATAGATGTATTGATTTACAGCATAGGCTGTACCAATCACAGTTTTCACCCATTACAATATTTAAATTACAATATGTATAATCATATGTTCGATTTTGCCGACGATATCGTGGTCATCGCTGAGACCCTGGAAGACCTTAGCAAAATGCTCGAAGACCTCAGTAGAGTCTCACAAGGAGTAGGTCTTAAATTGAACATGGACAAGACGAAAATTATGTCAAACGTCCATGTCGTACCTGCACCCGTCAAAATCGGTGATTCTACACTCGAAATTGTCGATCACTACGTATACTTAGGGCAAACTATCCAGCTAGGTAGATCCAATTTCGAGAAAGAGGTCAATCGTCGAATCCAACTCGGATGGGCAGCGTTCGTGAAGCTCCGATATATCTTTTCTTCCAAATTTCCGCAGTGTCTCAAGACGAAGGTTTACGACCAATGTGTGTTGCCAGTGATGACTTACGGAACAGAGACGTGGTCGCTAACTATGGGCCCCATCAACAAGCTCAGAGTCACTCAGAGGGCAATGGAGAGGGCTATGCTCGAAGTTACTCTGCGTGATATAATCAGAAATGAGGAGATCCGCAGAAGAACCAGAGTGCCCGCCATACACAACAACATAGCCCGAAGAATTGCGACTCTGAAGTGGCAATGGGCAGGGCACATAGCTCGTAGGGCAGATGGCCTTTGGGGCAGTAAAGTCCTCGAGTGGCGACCATGGACCGGAAGACGCAGCGTGGGAAGGCCTCCAGCAAGGTGGACCGACGATCTGGTCAAGATCGCTGGAAGGCATTGGATGCGAGCAGCGCAGGACCGATCGTCGTGGAGATCTTTGGGGGAGGCCTATGTCCAGCAGTGGACGTCTTCCGGGCTGCGATGATGATGATGATGTATAATCATTGTAATTTGTATAGTTGCTGTTTTCTTTTCACTTTTGTTTTTATAATTATTTATGTTTATATTATATTATAGTATATTATATTTTTATTTATTTATATTTTTAATTATTATATGGCATTATTATTATTAATAGGGTTTTATTATTAATTAAAGGTATTGCGTACATTTAGGAGCAGATTGTCCCGGCCCACCACGCCGCCACAAGTTTGAATAAAAAATAGTTACCATTCGTTTCAGATAATGTTTCAATACGAATTTGAGAAGCGGCCGCCGTCAGCGACATCCTGCGACAGTCGTGCCACAGTCACCACCGACTGGAGCCGGGTGTACCCGGCGGGACCTAGCCGGACGAGCGGAAAAAGCGGTACAAGCGGTTTGAGCGGAAAGAGCGATGCGAGCGGTTTTAGCGCCGCGTGCGCGGGACGCCCGCTCCCACCTAGGCCGATAGTTCGTGAGCGGTTGCCTGCAAAACCTACTGTACGTACTGTTTATCTTTGGTTGGTTATGGATTTGATTCCTGACTGTGTTTACACCGCTTTACTTCCTATAGTTGCGGGTTCGATTCCTCGCGCGGTACGAACATTTGTTTTCATGAGTATGATTGTTTATAACGGTCTGAGTGTTTTCTATGCTTTCAATATATATTTTGTATATATTTAGAAGAATTAAGTATTTATATCATGACAATGTCTAGCACCCATAACACGAGCTCTGTTTGACTTGGGACTAGATGGCGCTGTGTGAATTGTGTAGGATTCTTATTTTTATTATTGTCCCTATGCGCTCGTTTCGGTAGGTTTTCTATACGAATCGTGCGTTTGAGAAAAAAAAGATTTTCTTGTGATATTCGTGATTTTTGTCGAACTCCTTTCGAGCGTCATGTGATTTATGAACCCTTACAAAGCAAGCTGCTTGACGGCTGAAGTATGTCAGATTGAGGTACTGTCTAAGGGGGAAAGGGGATTGTTAGTACCGGGACCGGGGTAGGATTGGTAGCACCGGTATGATTGGTAGTCCACAACTAATAACCCGGTGCTACCAATGTACAATGTCAGGTCATCCACGCGGTTCCACCTGGAAAACATCGTGGTAAATTGCCATATATCAAAATGGAATAACTAACCTGACTTCATGTTTACAACTAGCTTTTGTCCGCGGCTTCGTTCGCGTTAATTTGTCCCGTTAGGGGTGGAATTTACCAAAATCCTTTCTTAGGGGATGCATACGTCATAGTAGCTTTATGCTTGCAAAGTCTCAGCCCGATCGGTTCAAAATTGACAAAGTTTCATACAAACTTTCATCCCCTATTTTATCTCCTTGAGGGTAGAATTAATCAAAATCCCGATCGGTTCAAAATTGACAAAGTTTCATACAAACTTTCATCCCCTATTTATCTCCTTTCTTAGCGGATGCCTACGTCATAACATCTACCTGCATGTCAAATTTTGGCATAGCATACTTAGTCTTAAGTAAGCATACATAGTCCCTATTGTTAACTATCGTGTGACGCACCATTAATTAAAAATGGTAAAGTCAATAATCGTGTAACCTGAAACGGAACGTCAGAGGCCAGAGCCAAAGTAATCTATGTGACATTGACAAGTGGATGACGGATGATTGAACGTAGGCAGCGAGAGTTTTGGAGCGAAAGTGTTGATATTATTATAAAAACAAATAAGAGATAGGTAATTGTGAATATTGTAAGCATTGAGATGTTTCTCTCCCTGACCGACCAGCATTACGCCTAAGTCGTTAGGATACTAGTGATTTCAAAACTATATATGCTTATATCTAGTTATACATATAAAACATGCTGGCTGCATAGTAGGTACATATAGAAGGTAAGTTGCACATGCGATCGATAGCTGACCAGGCCGCGCCGTTATATTCGTAATTTGCGAAGTTTCCGCTATTACGTATCGCGATTGCCTCACCTAATAGCCAAGTTACGTTATATTATTAATGTCAAAGTACCTCTGTAGCATGTAGCGTGAAGATACGAAACGTTATGCGTATACAGTATTTTTAATATGCACTGGCTGTGCCCGTGACGTCGTTCGCGTAGTTATCATAAACAATATCGCGATTATCCTTGGAAGCCTCAAATATGAATATTTTTCCCCGTTTTTGTAACATTTCTCACTGCAGCTCCGCTCCTATTAGTCGTAGCGTAATGTGATATAGCTTAAAGCCTTCCTCGACAAATGGGCTATCCAACACAAAAAGAATTTTTCAATTCGAACCAGTAGTTCCTGAGATTAGCGCGTTCAAACAAACAAACTCTTCAGCTTTATAATATTATAGTACATAGTATAGATGATAATGGTGGATGGATGGTTATAAGGGCAGAGGAAGGCCGAAAAAGAGATGGATGGACTGTGTGAAAGATGATATGGTAAGAAAGGAAGTAAATAACACGATGACTGCGAACAGGGATGAATGGAAGAGAAAAACATATTACGCCGACCCCAAATAAATGGGATAAGGAAGAAGCAGATGATGATGATGATGATAGTATAGATGATAATGGATAGGTGCACCCGCCTGAGGCAATGGTTTACGCTGGCGAGGCATCAGTGGAAATCGATAATTTAATTTAATATTGTTTTGTTTTAATTAATTTTGTTATTGTCCAATTTTATTAGTTTATGTTATCTTTGTTAATTTATTTTTATTTATTTTATTTATTTTGTACACATTACATCGATGGTTGTAGACAAGACAATTAACAGCAATCACTGCACTAAGCTCAGGGCTTGTGTCGCAAGAATCAGAAATCCTTAATTACAAAAACATTAACTTAAAACAGGCTCCTTAAAACAATTGTAGTTTAGAACTTAACGTCCTATCTGTAATGGGTTCACATATTTAGTTTATGATTGTCTATGACGCTCAGTCCCTATATGTCATTCATTCAGTATATAATAAGTAGGTACAATATGGAAGTTGATAGTTTGTGTAATGAATAAGAATATAAATAAAAGTTACTTAAATAACAAGCTTTTACTTAATATTATACTATCGTCGTATCGGCGTAGCAAGATACTTGTATGGTGCTCTTTTAAATAGTTGTAACTTTACATTTTAAGTTGAAATCTTAATTATAACAGAGTGTAAAACAAAGTCGCTGTCGCCGTCTGTCCGTCCCTATGTATGCTTAAATCTTTAAAACTACGCAATGGATTTTGAAGTGGTTTTTTTAATAGATAGAGTCATTCAAGAGGAAGCTTTATAAGTATATAGTACATTTACACCCGTGCGAAGCCGGGGCAAGTAGCCAATAAATTTATATGACTAAAACAACGTTTGCCGGGACAGCTAGTTAATATATAAATAAATATTCTGACCAATAACAATCATACTCATGAATACAAACGTTTGTGCCGTCCGTCGAATCGAACCCGCGACCATCGGAAGTAAGGCGGTGTGTTTAATCGCTAGACCACCGAGGTCGTGGCTGTTATTGAGAAAACAAATTTATTATTTCAGGTACCTTTAAAAGTTTGGATCATAGCCAGTGCTTCGTGCTTTGCCGTCTGCGCTGCGCTGGTCCTCGCCACGCTGGTCATCACGAAATGGGGAGCAGAACCTACGTACCCTGGAGAAATGTACTCCGAACCGGTGAGTTATTACGGGTAGCTGTTTAGTAGGCTATTTAATTTAAAAAATATTTGTTGACGATTATATGTATTTTACATATAATCTTCAGCAAATTCAAGATTATATATAATTCAAGGTTATATGTAAAATACATATAATCTTCAACAAATATTTAATAAAATTATAAGGCTATTTAATTTAAAAAATATTTGTTGACGATTATATGTATTTTACATATAATCTTCAGCAAATATTTTTTAAATTAAATAGCCTTATAATTTTAAACATATAATTTTAAATTAATTATTACAATTGATTATATATATATCCATAAAAAATGTATCAATTCGGTAGAACTTGACTCGATGCCATTTTAGGAGAGCCAGCTTATGTAAGACGATCACACACGCCAGTCTTTGTGGAAAGATATAGATAAATATAAAAATAAGGGTTCATATAATATATAATATAAGATACATTTTACATATAATCTTCTGCAAATATTTTTTAAATTAAATAGCCTTATAATTTTAAACATATAATTTTAAATTAATTATTACAATTGATTATATATATATCCATAAAAAATGTATCAATTCGGTAGAACTTGACTCGATGCCATTTTAGGAGAGCCAGCTTATGTAAGACGATCACACACGCCAGTCTTTGTGGAAAGATATAGATAAATATAAAAATAAGGGTTGATATAATATATAATATAATATACGAACCTTGATGGCCGGAGCAAGATCTCATAAACAATTGTCACGGTAAATAATTCAAACCGTGACAAACAACCGTCAAAAACGTATAAAACAATACTACTTTTTTGTTGTCTAGTCTCCATAACACAAGCTATACTTAGCTTGGGACTTGATGACACTGTGAATTGTCCTGGTACATTATTAATTTCATTAAAGAAATAAATAAACTTTTCTTTCCAGGAACCGATATATTCCGATCCAAAACCAAAATACAACCCACCTACATCACAAAGAACCACAGAACACACAATAAAACATCCAACAGATACAAAATCTATAGAAAACTCAATTGAAAATGACATTCAACTGTCCGTTCTTGAAAAGCTGCCGATATTCAAGAACGTTGTATCCAACCGCGTCAAAAATAATAATCTGGCCAGCAAACCACAAATACATCCAATCCACGATGCCATAGAGCATACAGAAAGAAAAATAGAGAAGAAGGATCAGGCAAAACTGCCGCACGATTACGAGAACGAAGTGAAAGATATTCCTGAATTCAAACCGACATTGCCCGACATTTTCTTTGGTAAGCATAAAGATATAATTCTACCAGAAGGTTTTGTGCCTGGTCTTAGAAAACATGATGCTGAGTACGAAGAATATTACAATGATGACAATCTATATGATGATTACATGCAAAGCAACACAATGGCTAGTTATTTAATAGAGAAGATACAGGAACTGCATACTTGGATCACAACAGATCCAGATTTCGACGCTCGTAACTCGTCCAAAGTTTTGAAAGCTAGCAATCAATTTGGTGAACTTTTAAAGTCGTTAAACGAAAGCCTAATCGAAGGGAATGTTACAATAATAATGAGTAAATTGAGAAATTTGTATTTTGGTGACAATCATACAAATTTGAACAAGAGTCGAAGTATTATTTTAAGTAATAGTACTGATTTATTGTCGTTTGGAATTTTATCGTTGGATGTGATGTTGCTTCATAATATACAGCTTATGGCTTGGGAAAGTCAGGTATGATACATGAATTTTTAAACTTTCGTGTTAATTACACAAATTAATATAGTTAACTGAGTGTTTAAACTAATAATTTTATGGTAAAGAAGCTGTACCCGCAACTTTGTGCGCGTTGAATAGCGACCTTGACCAAAATAATGAAAAAATATTTAATGTACTAATATAAGAAAGCCAAAGAAAAAAGTTCATCGTTCTAGCTTCAAAACTAACGAATTTCCATGTAAACTTTCATCCCCTATTATATTTTAACCCCTTAAGGGTAACATTATTTAATGTTCAAAGTTTTAAAAATGACGATATTTCCATACAATCTTTAGTCTCCCATTTCAACCCCATACAACCCTTTTTCGAATTAATAATTAGCTTATAGATCTGTGTACCAACTTTCATTTAAATCGATCCAGTAGTTTTGACGTGAAAGCAAGACAGATAAAAAGACGGGTTTACTATCGCGTTATATGATATTAGTAAGGATTTTAGTTTTGTATATTTACTAGCTTTTGCCCGCGGCTTCGCTCGCGTTTATTTATCCCCTTAAGGGTGGAATTTATCAAAATCCTTTCTTATGTCTGCGTCATAATAGATTTATGCATGCAAAGTCTCAGCTCGATCGGTTTAAAATTGACAAAGTTTCATACAAACTTTCATCCCCTATTTTATCCCCTTGGGGGTAGAATTAATCAAAATCCTTTCTTAGCGGATGCCTACGTCATAACATCTACCTGCATGCCAAATTTCAGTCCGATCCGTCCAGTGGTTTGGGCTGTGCGTTGATAGATCACTATGTCAGTCACCTTTGAGTTATATATATATATATAGATTATATGATATTTTTATTATAGGAAGCAGCTCGGAGTAAGATGCTGAAGGATCCTGACGTGTTCGCGTTTAATGCACTATTTTTGGACCCCAGCAAAGTTGAGGCCAAGCAGAACGAAGTATTACACCACTCCGACAGCTCGGGAGTGGCGTATGTTTTTTTTTGCTTATAAATGATAATGTAATGGCGCACCCGCCTGCGCTAACGGTTTACGCTGGCGGGGCACCTGTGAAGGATTATATTAAGATGAGCATGAGGTCAGGTCAGTTAGCCCATCGTGACAATTCACCGGGAATTTATCACGATGGTTTCCAGGGGGCACCGCGTGGAGGTAACCTGACACAGTGCTAGCAATGGGGTCATGAGTCCCCATTATTAACAATCCGCTTCCCCCCAGTGGCGTATGTTTTATATTGTAAAAACTAACTGATATATCTTATATATAAAATTCTCGTGTCACAGTTTTCGTTCCCATACTCCACCGAAACGGCTTGACCGATTCTCATGAAGCGTTTTGTGAGCGTATTGACTAGGTCTGAGAATCTGCCGTAGTCAACCCCTAAATTTTATTTTTATTTTTTAGACAAAATTTATAGTTTCTATTTTTTTATCATACAACATACAAAAATACATACAATCCTAAATTTTCACCCTTCTATCATCAACCCCTATTTTTTTATAGCGTTATTAATTTATATGGCAAAACAACGTTTGCCGGGACAGCTAGTCTTATATATAGAACTCTCGTGTCACAATGTTAGTTACCATACTCTTCCGAAACGGTTTGACTGATTTTTATGAAATTTTATATTCCTATTAAGTTGGTCTGAGAATCGACTACTATTTTTCATATCCCTAAGTGATAATCACTTATTTTTATTTTTTGGACAATATTTATTATTTTTATAATGTGGAATTAATACATATAAAAATCCAAAATTTGTACCTTTCTAGCATAAACACCATTTTTTAATAGTGATTTTAATTTATATGTCAAAACAACGTTTACGGCCACAGCTAGTATATATATATATAATATCTCAAGACAATTCAGACAATATATTATTTGTTTGCACAAAATGAAACGATCGATCTCTGTCCAATTTACACGGTCGAAATTACGACGGCCTGACCCCAGGTTCGAACTATATGTGGAGCTCTCAGACTGGGGTCGTATCAGGCGGGAGATGTCCTTCAGCCAATCCATAACTCCTTCCTCTTGTTTGGAGTTCCATCTGCACTCGCCCCCTATCGTCCGGTGAAGCTGTAAAGGCCAGCTGCGGCCAACAGCATTAGAATTTAGAGTGTCATCTGCACTTGCCCCTTATCGTCCGGTGAAGCTGTAAAGGCCAGCTGCAGCCAACAGCAGAGTAATCCGGAAAAACCTTTCATTTTGTGTGAATTCAAACTGCCAAATAGCAAGATTGATAAAAGCAAGTAAATTAACAGCTACTTGAGTAACAAAATAAATCACTCATATTTATCAGAGCTGATCAGTTCCTACAACACCCCTTCACGAGTATAACGGTTGCGGCCAACCACTCGCCCCATTACGCTCAACAACTTTATCTGCACTCGCAGGGCCATCTGCCTCGCCCCATCGTCCGGTCCCAACAAGCATTTTTAAGTGCCATCTAACCGTTTCCAGAAAACGGCAAAATTTGCGGTGAAGCTGGCATTAGAAAGAGTTTGACGACTTCGAGCTGCGGCCAACAGCATTAATTTAGAGTGCCATCTTCGCCCCTTATCGTCCGAGAACTTTCTGGACATCGGCATGAGTACGGCAAGGGCTGCTATCCACTTGGGAAGAGCATACAAGAACACCAAGTAAGAGAATACTTGAAATACAATTATTTTTCAAATTCAAATTCAAAAATCATTTATTCATGTAAAACATTTTATCGTCCGGTGAAGCTATAAAGGCCAGCTGCGGCCAACAGCATTAGTCATCTTTTTGCGGCCAACAGCATTAGAATCTGCACTCGCCCCTTATCGTCCGATTTATTTTTTCCCTTATCGTCCGGTGAAGCTATAAAGGCCCTGCGGCCAACAGCATTCTATCTGCACTCGCCCCTTTCGGTATATAGATCCAGTCCGGAAAAACCTTTCATTTTGTTTTGCCAAATAGCAAGATGAACTGGCAAGAAAATATTTACTGAACTTTGCTCAGTAAATATGATTTAACAGATAACCGTTTTTGCAAAATTTATTTAAGGAGAATTCCATGAGTAACATATCCACTTGGGAAGAGCATACAAGAATCCTTTGGAAATACAATTATTTATGAAACTTGTTTCCACATCTGTCCATTTTACTATTGTTATTTAGTATCAAAAAATTTATATCCCGTGGAATTAATAAAGATTTTTATGTATTTTAGTATAAAAAATAACATATTTAAATTTTTCTAAAACTAGCCTAAGTTACACTTATTAGTTGGAGTGAACCCTGTCGAAAACAGTACGATATAGAATTTGTCTTTAAATCTAGTATTAATATTATGAATATTGCTGTTTTTTGCAAATACAAACCTTGTTTCCACATCTTCCATTTTACTATTGTTATTTAGTATCAAAAAATTAATATTACTATCATCTGATAATATATATCGTCTCAACGTAGTGTTAGTATATATATGTAAGTATATTACGCAATAATAAACACATAAATAAAAAAAATAAGAACTCTGTACAATTCACACAACACCATCTAGTCCAAGTTAAGTAGAGCTTGTGTTATGGGTAATAGATAACTGATTTTATATATTGTACACGTGTTACTTCTCCAATGTCACACTTTGTCAAATCCCTCTTCCCTTAACTCCCCTCCCTCTTCATATTTAACGTTAGACGTAATTTAAGGACGCAGTGTACTGGGTACAGGGTACAGGGATCATTTTTTTTTGTGTTTAAATTATATGTATCTGTATGTAGTAAAAAACCCGCATCTTAGTTTTTTTTTGTTTATGAGTAATGGGGGCTGCCTGAAAACCAGCGCTGTATAGGTGCACCTCACTAAGGTTGTGCTTATATCAGCAACAGCTGAGGCAGCTCCTATTGCCAACTTCCATGTTATTATTTATTTCTTGTTTTGTGTCTTATTGTAAATTGTATTATTTGTGTTATATTGGCAATAAAACAATTATCTTATCTTATCTATCATTCCTTGGAGGGTCGGCCGAGGCAATTTTATACAAATTTTGTGACTCTCTCTGTATACGATTAATTGCTTCTGCAAAGAATGGAGACGTGGCTATAATGTTCGGGGCAACCAAAGTATGCAATATCCACTAACCTTTAAGAACCGTCCCTGGTCTGCACCTCCTGGACTGCACATGAGATAGAGATAGAGATTAGGCCACATGAGTTCATCACGAGAACACGTTGTATTGTTGTAAGTTGTCCTTTATATGATCATTCTATCCTTTTTCAATCCCTCATTTTGTCCTTTACCTACTTTTGTTCATGGATAAATTAGAAATATATAATTTTATAATAATAATAATAATAATAATAATAATAATCATTTATTCAGCATATAAAAAAGAGTACAGAGTAAAAAAAGAAAACTTAAAAACTAATAATTCTATGCTGAAAAGGCTCCCACTCAGCTGGTGCCGCAGCGTAATACTACAGCGCTGATTTTCAGTGGAACCACTTGAAAAAAAGAAATAGCATTTGTGATGAATTAAAATATCTAAAATGAAGAATGAGTTAAATGTTATCTCCATATCTGATCCGAGAACACGTTGATTGATGGTAATTTTTGTCCTTTTGTTGATAATTAATTAATTTCTTGATAGCGCATCACAGATGGCGCTCGTTCTTGCTGCGATCTCAAGGACGGTGTGCGTTTGAGAGGCGATAGTTGCGGAATATTACAGACAATAGGTGCCCGAACACTCTAATGTCACACTTTGTCAAATCCCTCTGCCCCTTAAGTCGCTCTCCTCCCTTAGGTTCCCCCCCTTCCTCCATAAAGTTAGACGTAATGTAAGAACACCATTTTATCAAATTTTCAGACATTACAAAGATTTTTTTTATTTCCAGAAATGTAATAAACCACATCGCAACACGAGAATCGAAGCCGAATCTGTCCCGGAATATAGACGGCAACACTGTCGCCCTGAACCATCTGCAGTCATCATACACCGAGGGTACTGGTGTTGAGTACACTGAACTGGACTGCGTGTGGTTACTCTACTGCAGGAATTTGGTGGCAACCGGGAACATGACTGCTCCATATGGAACCATGGCTAAAATTAATGGGTGAGTACTTTTAATAATAACCTCACTACAATTCACACAGCGCCATCTAGACCCAAGTTTAGCTAGCTAAAGCATGTGTTATGGGTACTAGATAACTGATACAGATACGTAGATATTATATTTCACACAAATATAAGCATGTTATACATCGAAGAACCGATACAAACAATCATACTCATGAATACAAATGTTTGTGCCGTGTGAGGAATCGAACCCGCGATCATCGGAAGTAAGGCGGTGGCTAAACCGTTGAACTACCGAGGCCGTCTAATTTTTGAAACCCAGACTTTTTTCATGGAAGATTGTGATATGGTGTTACTTGTGCGGGCATGATTTTTGAGCAAATAAATTATTATTATTATTATTATTATAGATGGTAATAATAATCTCAGGACAATTCACACAGCGCCATCTAGTCCCAAGTTAAGCTAGCTAAAGTACTAGATAACCGATACAGATATATAGATATTTTTATTACGTAAATAGACCGATACAAACAGTCATACAAATATTTGTGCCGTGCGGGGAATCGAACCCACGTCCATCGGAAGGCGGTGGTGAAACCGTTGGACCAATGAGGCCTTAAATTTTTTAGGACCACGTGCATCGATGATTATAACTGTGGACAGTTCACACAGCGCCATCTAGTCCCAATGTAAGCGGAGCTTCTGTTATGTTTACTAACTGAAGGAATCCGTCTAAAACGACTTTAGTCCCTTAAAACCTTGGCAAAAACCTCCCGTGGGTTTTTGCCCCGGAGCAGATCAGCAGAGGAGCCGGGTCTAATCCCTAGCGGTGCCCTCAGACTAAAGTCGTATCCATCAGACGGGAGTTGTCCTTCAGCCGCTCCATAAGTCCTTCCTTTGGTTTGGAGTGCCATCTACACTCGCCCACTATCGTCCGGTGAAGCTGTAAAGGCCAGCTGCGGACAACAGCATATATATATAGTAGTAATCAAGCATACGGCTCATCTGATGGTAAACGGTTGCCTCTTAAATAAAATGTATTGTAATTAATTGTATAATTTTATTTGTCGAATATTTTTATTATTGGACATCACGTTATCACGTGACGCCCGTGATACCACTCACGCGTTGTCACTCCAGAGTACTAACATGTCACGCCTCTTATCCTGTAATTTCACTTCCTAATCTGCACTACAACCGAAACAGCTTACAAAGCAAGCTGCTTGGTAGAAATAGGTGAGACTGAGGTAAACATGCAGACGAGTTTTCACAAAGTCCACTTTATTTTGCAGGTTGGCACTACGGATGCTGACTGGGGAGCTACCAGCCGACCGTGCTCTGGACACCATGCTGTATGAGGTATTTTCCGGGTGGACGCAGTTGAACTGCAACCATATGTTCCCAAGGTAAACTCAAGAAACAAGTTCACAAACATATATTTATTTATCTTTGATAACAACAGCTTATATTACTATATTATAATTTAGAAATTTACCAATCTTAACCAAAAATATAATATGATGATGCAATAATAATTATTATTTTTATGTTTCTTTTTTTTTTCATGTCCTTTATGTGTCAAATTCAAATTCAAATTAAAAAATCATTTATTCATGTAGGACATTTTAGCCGCTTATGAATGTCAAGTTTTTTACATTATAATATTATTTTTTTTCCCTACCGTCCAGTTCGGTATATATATCCAATTGAGAAGAACTGGCAAGAAACTCAATTGAATTACTTTTTTTTAACAGCCATTTTATTTACAATGTATATTTATATAGGTGTCTATGTTTAACATTAAATGAAAATCCCGTACATGAACAACTATTGCCATGCACACTCGTCATTCAAGTAATCGTTTAGTGAGTAATAGGCTTTGCTCAGTAAATATGATTTAACAGATTGTGTTGGTGCAATAAAGTGATATAAATTAAAAAAATATATATTTTAACATATTCATTACATCAATTTGTTTTTTTCTTTTTAATTCGTTCCGGTATTGAGTACAGGGTTTTGTTTTAATACTTGATAATGTAATGGTGGCATTGGATGCGAGCAGTGCAGGACCGATCGTCGTGGAGATCTTTGGGGGAGGCCTATGTCCAGCAGTGGACGTCTTCCGGGCTGCGATGATGATGATGATGATGATGATGAATGTAATGGTGTACCCGCCTACGCTAACGGTTTACGCTGACGGGGCACCAGTGGAGTGAATTTATCATGATGGTTTCTAAGGAGAATCCTGTAACACTCCACATTACACAATTTTTTCTCCTTTTTAGTATAGAGTTATTGTGATAAAATTATATTACATCATATGTATTAGTGTTAAATATATAATGTAATCACGCTCTATTACTCAATAACATGGATCTGTCAATGTCAGTATCTTGTCTTAAATGTGTTAAACGTCACTTTCTGTTAAGTGTCTTTATAATAGCTAACGGCATCTCTTATAAGGATGAGATTTTTTTTATAGATGATAATGAAATGGTGCTCCCGCCTGCCGCTAACGGTATACGCTGGCGGGGCACCAGTGGAGGATGATAATGAACATGAGGTCAGATCAGTTAGCACATCGTGAAAAATTCACCAGGAAGTTATCACGATGATTTCCAGGGGGAACCGCGTGGAGGTCAACCTGACATGGTACATTGCTAGTAATGGGGTCATGAGTCCCCATTAGATAGAGATAGAGATTAGGCCACATGAGTTCACCTTCACATTTGGCTAAATTAAAAATAGTGGACAGTAATATGCGATTGTGGTATAGACGTGGGTGACTTGAATCATATTGTTGTAAGTTGTCCTTTATATGATCATTCTATCCTTTTTCAATCCCTCATTTACCTCCAGATTCCTCTACCTACTTCCGTTCCAATATTACTGTTCATGGATAAATTAGAAATATATAATTTTATAATAATAATAATAATAATAATCATTTATTCAGCATAAAAAAGAGTACAGAGTAAAAAAGAAAACTAAAAACTAATAATTCGCTGCTGAAAAGGCTTCCACTCAGCTGGTGCCGCAGTGTGTCACTACAGCGCTGATTTTCAGTGGTGCCACTTGAAAAAAAGAAATAGCATTCGTGATAAATTAAAATATCTAAAATGAAGAATCAGTTAAATTTTATCTCCATATTTCTGAGTAGCAACAATATTAAGCTTTAATCAGAATATTATTATATATTAAATATAATCATTATCTCATTTGGTATCTATTTTTCTATATAAAACATCTTTATATGTATTCAATATTAGCATTGTAAACATATAATCTCCTTAACTTCTCTGATCCATATCCCAAATTCCAAAACTATTCTATTTCAAGTCCTATAGTTTCCCAAACATTTGATGTTGGCAAATGCACCATAGTGCCAAGCCATGACAGAAAAAAAAATGTATCCCTCGTTTTTTCTCTGCTCCATAATTTGTATATTTAATATTATAAAAGTAAAAAAAACAATTGCAGTTAAATATAAGTTTATTTTACATTATCCACTGACAAGTGCTCTGTCCAATAATTACTTATATTTTTTTTTCTTTTATTTCAGATGCAGCAAAGCAAACGCAGCGGAAATAGTATTAAACACAATTCTACAACCATTAAAAAAGTCCCAAACTCCCAATAGAGTTCGATAGCGAGCAAATACTACTATAATAGTAGCTTTTGTATAGTAAATAGTAGTTTTTCAATGTCGCAACTGTTTGACTCTTTAAATTCTATACTATTGTTATTTGCAATCATATTTTGTTAGAAATTGACATTTTTATGTTATTTTTATATAAAAAAATCTTATTGCAGGATTTTAGTTTGGTGATATGGTAGTTTCTGTTAGAGAAACTTATTGCGTTTATAAAAACATATGGGTCCTTCCCATAATATTTCAAATAAATATTAATATATTTTTATATAAATATATAATATGAATTACTACTAAAATATCTAAAACATTTAGTGAATTATAACTTGCGAATCGTTCGTAAAATATGTACTTAGTAGTATCTTAAAGACTGGCTTTTTTTTGTCAATGTCTGTGACCAGTATAATTCTTGTATTAGACGATTGGTGGAATAAAAGTTAATAAATAAATAAAAATTTATAAAATTATTTTCAAGGAACAGAAAACAGTAATTTAATAGAATTAAAAAGTATTCGACTATTTAGATAAAGCATTGTTGTCCATTTTTTTCTTTTTATTATATTACTGGCTACTCGCATGTTATATACATATAAACCTTCCTCTAGAATCACTCTATCTATTAAAAAAGCCGCTTCAAAATCCGTTGCGTAGTTTTAAAGATTTAAACATACATATGGATTATGGACGGACAGGCAGCGACTTTATTTTATACTATGAAATGGTAATGATGTTATAATATTTATTATATTTATAATATCCAAATTTGTTGCATTGTAAAAGTTAAAAATTATATGAAAATATAAGGAATGTACTCTAAAGTAAAGTCTAAGTAAAGGAAGTAAATTATATGGAATTGTTAGGACTAAATTAAGTTTATTTTTATTTATATTTTTAAGTATTGACTCTCCTATTTAGAGGCTCAATAAATTAAGTTATCTGTAGTTAATATAATTATTAAGACTATTTATAAATTAATTGATTGCTCAGTTTTATTATAATTATTAAAATTATACAACGCTATTGGGTTGGATATCGTATCCAGTGAGAACTGAACTGATAAACTGAACAACGATTCTAAAGTAGCAATGTGATAATTTAAATTTGGTGCAAATTATGAAAAATAAAATATAAAAGGAAGCGTCATGGCCTAGTGGAATGCTATTCAGAATTAGAATAGAATAAAAATAAATTATTTATTCAAATAAACTTTATTTTAAGCACTTTTGAATAGGTACTTATATTTTCTATCTACTGCTCATACGGAAAGCTGCCTCATCACAAGAAGAACGTGAAAGAAACTTGCGTATTGCTCTTTTAAAGAACTGTTGTAACTTTACATTTTTAAGTTGTAATGTGTGAATACAAACTACCAAATAGCACTAATTCATTACAGTCAAAATTTTAAATACACAATAAATTAGACGCACTGATCAATTTAATATCAGATTTCCATTTTGTTGACAGCGGTTCAGTTTTATACATATAGCTTGTCTTTTGTTGACAGCGGTTCAGTTCTATACATATAGCTTGTCTTTTGTTGACAGCGGTTCAGTTCGATACATGTAGCTTGTCTTTTGTTGACAGCGGTTCAGTTCTATACATATAGCTTGTATTTTGTTGACAGCGGTTCAGTTCTATACATATAACTTGTCTTTTGTTGACAGCGGTTCAGTTCTATGCATAGTTGGGTAGCTAAGCATAAAACTGAACTACCTTAGCTTGGTATATTACTTACGACTAAACGGTTTTAATAACCGTTGTAAGCATAAATTACTGAGCAATCGATTATATACTTTAATTATATGCTCAAATTGTACTTCTTAATAATATTATAAACGTGAAAGTTAGTGAGTATGTACAATATATGGATGAATGTTTGTTACTTTTTCACGAAGAAACTACTTATAATATAGTTTTTTTTATACTACTCTAACGCTGTAAGAAAGAAAGAAAAGAAAAAACTGGGACGCGAGTCACAATGTAACTTTTTTTCGGACCACTCTAATGCTGTTGGCCGTAGCTGGCCTTTACAGCTTCACCGGACGATAGGGGGCGAGTGCAGATGGCACTCCAAACCAAAGGAAGGACTTATGGAGCGGCTGAAGGACAACTCCCGCCTGACGGATACGACGATTGGCTGAGGGCGCTGGTAGGGGTTCGACTCTCGGCTCAGTCCGTCGTAATTTCGATCCCCGTCTGAATTGGAGGAGTTAAAATACTACTGAACGGATTCTGATGAAACTCTACTCTACTCTAGTAATGTAGCTTATACATCAGAATAACACAGGAATATATATATATATTTTGTTACGTTCTATCTGCTGTTGCTATTTCATTGTCAGACTCTTGGTATGGTATATTTATGTATATATTTTAATCATATTTATCTATAGATTTATACATATAGTATGTATTTGTATATATATGTTTACATGTACTTACGTTTAGTAAATATATATTATTTATGACATAGGTATTATATTTCTTATTGATTACATTTGTACCGACTACAGTTTCTCTGCACAACCTGTGGTTGACTGGTAGAAAATGCCGTAAAGCGCCACATGTATTTTGTGCATTGAAGTTATATAAATAAATAAATATAATATATGCGGCTGAAACTGTGAGCACAGCTAGTTATTATATATTATGACGAATTGATGGTAATATTTTAGGATAAATTAGGTAAAGGTTATGTTATATACGTTTGTATTGATTAAGAATTTTCAGTAATTGCCTAGGCATATTAGATATTAAAAGCGGAATAATTTTTAAAATGAGATGTAAACAAATTATTTATAAGACAGACTGACGATGTGAAATAAAAACATATATTTTTGTTGATAGAAAGTTTTATTTCTCACCTCGGCTTCGCTCGCATGCATTACGAATCTTTGAACTTTTCGGCTTGTTCTAAATCTGCACTATATATATTTATTTGTTTGCATGTATTCATTTTTTTCTATACTACTATATATAAGACTGATATATATGAGATATTATAAACGCGAAAGTTTGTAAGTATGGATGTTTGTTACTCTTTCACTCAGAAACTACTGAACGGATTTTGATGAAACTTTACACTTTTTAGCTATATTAACTTATGGATCAGAGTAACACATAGGCTACATTTTATATTGAATTTAATGCAGGTAAAACCGCGGGCACAGCTAGTTATATATATAAACCTTCCTTAAATCACTCAATCTATTGCTGAAAACTGCATTAAAATACGTGCAAAGAAAGATTACGATCGTTACATGTAATAAACGTATCGCGGCGACATGTGTTTTTCTGTTTGTATGTTAACAGTTCATGAAAAACCTTCAGAGAAATTCAAAGATATCAAATTTACATACATTTAATTTAAAAGCTGAGAAAATTAAATAATAAAAATATTAATGTCACAATAAGAATAGAATAGAAAATCATTTATTATTATTATTCAATTATTATTTATATTCAATTAATTATTATTTATATTATAAATTATTGAAACTTTTGAATATATTTTAATCTACCGCTCATTCAGAAATGTCTCAAAAATCAATAATTTATTTAAACTTTTTTTTAATATTAGAAACAACAATTTTATTAAATACGTAAATTTATTTAAATTTTATATATAGAAAAAAAGAAGAAGAATTAAAAAAACAAATTTAAAAATACCAAAAAATTATTTAATTGTAATTTTTAGTATTAAAACAACAAATTTAAAATATTAAAATTATTTAAATTTTAATATTAAAACAACAAATTTCAAATATTAAAATATGACCGACTGTGATGGGGATAGTAAAAATTACGAAAACAGTGTTACAAAAACTATGGTTGGTTTTTACAACAACAATTTCTCTAAGAACAACGACATAATGATGACATTGTTGTTAACGACAATAAAGGGTTACTTGTATTTTATACGTGAAGCAAAAACTTTGTAGCCCTTTTTACGAATACATTTTAAAATTGTGCGGATGAAATTTCGCACACTAATCCTTTATTTTTAATCGAGAGTCATTCCAGTATTTTCTCTATTCATATAATATAGGTCGCTGTTGGACTCATATGTATTATAAGGATTCAAAGTAGGATTTTTTAGTTTTTATAGAGAAGGAGTGCACAATGCAATTTTTTTTCAATCATCATTACATAGTATAAAATAAAGTCGCTGTCACTGTCTGTCCGTCCCTATGTCAGGGACAAAATCTGAAGGATATTTTGAAGCGGTATCTTTTTAGATCCTGTAATTCAAGAGGTAAAGGTTTATATAGAGATCATTGTTTATACATGAGTGAGCTACAACCACATAGGATGCTAGAATGCGTAAAAAATACATTAAACTACGGTTGGTTTTTACAACAACAATTTCTCCAAGGACAACGACATAACGGTCACATTGTTGTTAACGACAATAAAGGATTATCTGCTCGTATTTTCTACGTGAAGCATAAACTTTAAAAGAAACCGCTTTTTCGAAAATTGTTGCAGATTTAAACATGGATTGAAAGTAGGATTTTTTAGTTTATATAGCAAAGGAGTGCAGAATGCAATTTTTTTTCAATCATCATTACATAGTATAAAATAAAGTCGCTGTCGCTGTCTGTCCGTCCCTATGTATGCTTAAATCTGCAACGGTTTTTGAAGCGGTTTCTTTTAATAGATACCGTAATTCAAGAGGAAGGTTTATATGTATAATACATGTACCTGGGCGAAGCCGGGGTGGGCTAGTAATGCATAAAAAATACATTCATTGTTATCTTCTTTTTATTTTTTAAGATTTCAATTTCAAATTTTGTTAATGCAACGCCTATATGAATCTCTGTTTGCCCAATGATTGACTGGGAGAAAATGCCTCAAGGTGTTAAGTGCGCCATGTGTACTTTTATTATTTATTATCTGTGGGGTCCCAGCGCTATAAGACTTTTCAAAGAAATAACGAAAAGGTTAGTCGACATCACAGAAGACCGAAGAGCTAGCAGCTACCTCGGACAAAGAATTAGTCTAGCTATTCAAAGAGGGAACGCTGCCAGTATCTTCGGAACTTTGCCTAAAGGGACCCCTTTTAATAATATATTTTAGTTATTATATTAAAT